TGTCTGCATTTCCCCTTCCCTGATTTTATGTGAGCCGCCCTGAGTCCCCTCAGGGAAAAGGGCGGCCTACAAATGTCAATAAAATCAAAAAAAAATCAAACCTTAAAGAACAATTTATTGGATGCATCATATTGGCACAACTGGTAAAAGCTGACTCTGAAAGTTCCCGGGATTTCCCCTAATTAAGAAGTAAAAGTTTCCTCTTTTCCCCCCAAGTCACAGGTCATGCTGTCCAATCAAGGTGCTGGCTGGTTGCTTGGTTACTCCAACTCCTCCTCTGGCCAGCCACCTTTTAGAACGTCCTTAGTTCCCACAGAAAAACTTGTTTGTTTTTGCTACAAAACCCCATCTAGCTATTCTCTCCCCCTCCGTGTCCCTTCTTCTGCTTTGTGGCAATCCTGAAGGCTCCAAGATGGCCTCAGCCAGGTTCACTTCAGGGTTGACAGTAAGGCAGTGTAAATGCCCTTTGGCATCTCTTAAGCCCTGGTTTATCAGCAGTTTCATGGCATTAGAAACAGCACAGAAAATATAGCCTTTCTAGCCTCAGAGAAATTGGGTTTTGGGAGCAGAAGCCTATAAAATATTAAATCAATGTAAATCTTTACCTCAGCAGGTTTAAAATGGGTGGACTTCAATTCCCAGAATTCCCAGGGCAGCAGAAATGCAGAATATATGTAAACTCCCACAAAAGCCCAGCCTCCCTTGTTCATCCACCCTCTTTACCTGTGGTGGGATGCTTGATTGTGTATGTCTCTCGCCTATCTGGTTTCAGCCACTTGCCATTTATAAAGTGCCCCAATTTGCGACCATGAGATTCCAGCCAGGACTGAAGAGAAAGAGGAAAAGGTCAGGTTATAGGGAAAAGAAGAATGAACTCTATACCTACTTGGAAGAATTGGAATCTTCTTCAGATAATAATGGATACTTAGCAGCTTTTTCCAGAAAACAGGAGGGGTAGTCAGGTTCAGAGAGGGAACCTGTAGCTTGCCAAAACTGCTGGACTAACAGCCCAAGCTGTTAGGCCTGGCCAATAGTCAGGGCTGAGTGAAGATCCATTATCATAACATTTAGAGATCCACTGTTTCCCTACCCAGTGATCCACCCTGATCGAGAGGAAAGACCAGAACACTCAGCCTTTAGCATTGCAGGTAGTCCTCGACTGACAATTATTCATTTGGCAACTGTACAGAGTTACAATGGCACAGAAAAAAGGGGCTTGCAACCAGTCTTCACACTTGCAAGCATCCCCAAGGTCACATGATGAAGATTCAGATTCAAAATACCAGCATTTATTTACAATGGTTGCAGAGTCCAGTGTCATGTGATCACCATTTATGACCTTCCCAGTTGGCATTTGACAAGTCAATGTGGGAAACAGAATTCGCTTAATGAATCTTCTAGTCCAAACCCCTGTTCAGGCAGGATAGCCTATACCATTTCAAACAAATTGGTTGTCCAATCTCTTCTTAAACACTGGAAGAGGGTTGGACTAGAAAACCTCTAAGGTCCCTTCCAACTCTTATTCCATTCTATTCTATTCCTCCGTCAAACCGTAGGACTGTCTATAATCAGAGTGTTAGAAGGATCAGCTAAGAGAGTAATGTATTGTGTTCTGCTTGCACATCAGGTTGCTTGGTTAGTAACTGTTTTCCTAAGCCAGATGTCATCGACCTGATTTGGGGGCAGAGCAAAAAGCTGAGTTTGGAGTATCTTCAACACTCTAATAGTCAAGGTTGGAATAATACAGCAATAGCTACCAGGTTGTGGAAAATTCGAAGCTTATTAAGTGTATTGGTGCATTGATATACAGCTAGTTTAGTAAAGGTAGTTCTCAATTGGAACCATTATTGGGACCAGAATCTCCATTGCTTAATAAGGCAGTTGTTAAGTAAGCCTGTTCCAATTTTACAAGTGTGTGTGTGTATGTGTGTGTGTGTGTGTGTGTGTGTGCATGTGTAGTAGCTTCATATATCATGCATCATCCCTAATTTTCTAATAAGTTCTGGTTTGGGGTAATAAACATTCCATGCAAGAAAATTTGCAATACCGCTGGTTATCTTCCTCATTGCCACAGCCAATGTCTAACTCTGTTTTCATAAAGAAGAGGCCTAACCTTTCCAAGTTCAGGGTTTCTCTAAAGCCTAACGTCAGAATGTCTAATCTGAAATATCAAAAGACTGAGTACTTCACTTTTCCAAACCTTGTTTTTTTAAATATTAAAGTCTCTTGAACGTCAATCATAAATATACACACTTTTGTGCCTTCAAGTCAGTTTTTGTCTCTTGGCGATTGCCTGTACTATCTTTGGCGAGATGGAAGAGGTTTGCCATTGCCTGCTTCATAGGGCTGAGAGAGAATGAGTGGCCCAAGGACACCCAGCTGGCTTTGTCCCTAAGGCAGGACTAGAACTCATGGTCCCCTAGTTTCTACCTTAATCACTACATCAAACTAACTAACCACAAAATCAAAATACTTTGCCATCAGAATGCTTCCTCTCCCTTGAACACATCTACTTTTTTCTTTTCTTTCCTCTCCATTATGATTACATTCCTTCAACGTGCCAAAAATATTTCTGAAACAGCGGGGTGAAAAATCAAATGGAAAATTAGGCCCATCTTCCCATCCCAGGTACCACCCTAAGCCAGAAATTCAAGTGCTTGGTATACAGGAGAAACGTGATTTATGTGGTAGTAAGAACACAGCTGGGAGGAATTTAACTGGAATCACCCATATGGGCCATGCAGAAGATTGCAGTAGGTCAAATGCAGCCTGCTGGATACCCATGCATGCCATAGTCAATTACCTTAATCAAATGTAATTGTCCAAACAGTCCATTAATGGGGGTCATCTATCTTCTAATATAAATTATTTTAGCTGTTTTAGTGCAGAAACTTGTCTCTGCTCTTCTTAAAAAAAACGTGCACGGACCAGATGTCTAAAAATGTAGTATGGATTTATTTTCCACTAGAAATACAGATAATCCTGGAGGTACGGCCAATTGAACTCCAAATTTATGTTGTTAAGCGAGACATTTGTTAAGTAAATTTGCCCCATTTTACGGCACAATTAAGTGAATCACTGTAGTTGGTAAGTTGGTAACATGGTCGTTAAGTGAATCTGGTTTCCCCACTGATTTTGTCAAAAAGTTGCAAAAGGTGAACATGTGACTTTGGGAAACAGCGACATTCATAAGCAGGAACCAGTTGCCAAGCATCTGAATTCTGATCACATGATCATGGGGATGCTACAAAGGTTGTTAAGTGTGAAAAACGGTCATAAATCACTTTTTTCAGTGCCATTTTAACCTGTAACTAAATGAACTGTCATAAATTGTACTGTTTTCATTCATTTTCAAATCTACGCAGACATATTCACTGATTGATCAGTCAGTTAAACCTAAAGGTTAAGAAACACAGTGCTAGACTGTAGAAAGGTACATTAAAACTGTCAAGGATTCCAAGGCTAAAATAATTATTGCAGAGAATTTAATCCTATTGTAAGAGTTACTATGGATGGGAAAGAGTGAGATTGTCCCCAAAAAACACTAATTCAGCTTGAATGCCAGGATACAAAAACCAAACTTTGAAATCCCCCAAGAAGAAAGGCTGGAAAACATTTTAACCTGGGTCTCACCAGATGTTCTTACCCAGAGTTCCCTGAACACCAGGTATGTCATTTAAGGCTCATTAGAATTACAAGCTGGGTTCCAATACATTAGCAATAGCACTTAGACTTATATACCGCTTCACAGTGCTTTACAACCTTCTCTAAGCGGTTTACAGAGACAGTATACTACCCCTAACAATCGGGCTCCTCATTTTACCAACCTTGGATGGATGGAAGAATGAGTCAATCTTGAGTCGGTGAGACTCAAACTGCTGGCAGCCAGCCAGCAGCCAGAAGTAGCCTGCAGGCATTCTAACCACTACGCCACCACAGCTCTTAAAGCCACATTAAATCCAAATGTGGCTTGTTTACCTTGGATTTGGGGTTGTACAAACTCAACCACCACAGTTTATTCATTCACTATAACTGAACAAACAAACGAAAGATAGTTTGGTCTAGTGGTTAAGCCACCAGGCTAGAAACCGGGAGACTATGAGTGCTAGTCCTGCCTTTAGGTGTGAAAGCTGGCTGAGTGATTTGGGGCCAATCAGGAGGAGATCATTAATTCTCATCCCACCTTAGGCATAAAAATCAGCTGAGTTATTTTGGCTCAATTACTCTCGCAGTAGCCAATTCATCTCACAGGGTTGTTGTTGGGAGAGAATAGGAGGAAGAAAGAGTATTATATGGGTTCACTGCCTTGAGTTATTTATGAAAATAATAAAGGTGGGATACATAGTCCCTCCCCCTCCAAAAAATTCCTCCAGAGGAAGAGATTTAAGCTAGTAAGATATGAACGCCTGCTGTAAAGCATGGGAAACCTTTAACAGCAGGGGCTCCTGAACTTTCCCCTCTTTACAAGATCCCTCTTCAGAGTCTTTGCAGGCTTCTCTATTTTGATTCTCTTCCTTTATGTGCCCAGGCCCATTCGTCCCCTTGTCTTCTTCCTCTGCTTCCTTCTCCTTCTGGCTCTTGGTCCACATTTGCCGAATCCAAGCCATCTCAGCTACCCAAAGCTGCCGATCCTTCTCCCGTTGGGCTTTCTCTTCTTCCCATAGTCCTTGAAATAGCTTTTCTCTCTCTCTGAAATGTGTCCGGATATCCCGCACCAACTCATCAAATTTGTCGTCCCAGGGTCTCTTCCTCCTCTTCCGGAGCTGGGCCAACTTCTCACGCATGCTCAGCAGATTCCGTGGCCTGGAAAAAGCTGGTGGCAGGGAGGAATGAGATGACATTACTCAAGTGATAGAGATGAAGATCAAAACTATGTCCCTGGAGCTCTCCAGATATTGAGAACCAGCCTCTGATGTACATATATCAATGCAGCAGCATGTCCTTTCATCATTCATATAGACAAAGTGAGATTCAAAGAATCAAGAGGGGGGCTATTAACACGAAGAAGGAAGTCTGTGTAATTCAGTGAATATTAAATGTCTGGGGTAAGAAAACAATTCCAGAGAGAATATTGTTGGAAACAAAGAATAGGAAAAACACAGTGAATTTAAGTACAGGTTGTCCTCAACATAAAGTCACAATTGAGCCCAAACTTTATGTTGCTAAGTGAGAAATTTGTTAAGCAAGTTTTGCCCCATTTTACAACTTTTCTTGCCACATTTGTTAAGTGAATTACTGCAGTTGTTAAATTAGTAACACGGTTACTAATGAGTTAGATTTCCCCATTGACTTTGCTTGTCAGAAGGTGTACCTTTTCAGACAAATAGTTGTCCAATCGCCTCTTAAAACCTCCAGTGTTGGAGCATTCACAACTACTGAAGGCAAGTTGTTCCACTGATTAATTGTTCTGTCAGGAAAGTTCTCCTTAGTTTTAGGTTGGTTCTGTCCTTGAATAGTTTCCATCCATTGTTTCTCATCCTGCTTTCAGGTGTTTTGGAGAACAGCCTGACTCCCTCTTCTTTGTGGCAAACCCTAAGATATTGGGAAAGTGCTACTATGTCACCACCCCTAGTCTTTCTTTTCCTTAAACGAGACATACCCAGTCTGGCAACCGTTCTTCATATGTTTTAGTCTCCAGTCCCCTAATCATCTTTATTGCTCTTCTCTGCACTCTTTCTAGAGTCTCAACATCTTTTTTACATCGTGGCGACCAAAACTGGATGCAGTATTCCAAGTGTGGCCTTACCAAGGCGTTATAAAATGTTACAGTATTAACATTTCACGTGATCTTGATTCTATCCCTCTATTTAGGCAGCCTAGAACTGTGTTGGCTTTTTGGGCAGCTGCTGCACACTGCTGGGTCATATTTAAATGGTTGTCCACTTGGATTCCAAGATCCCTTTCACAGAGATAAAAGTGAAGGTGAAACAGTTCAATCAGGCTTTTAAATAGCAATTCACCCGCTTATCTCTGGCACTTGATATCTGAAATGTTTAACTGGGAAACCCCCCTTGTTGGAAATGAGAAATGTGAATCTGAGCAGATGGCAAAATTGCTCCAGTTCTACACTCACATCCCTGAACTCAAGGGGACTTTATTTGTAAGAAAGGAGATCAGAGATGAAGGAACTGATGACCCCAAGTCCATTCCTCCTCTTATGTCTGGATAAAGTCAATTTTCCTTGCCCCCACCCCACTGCACTGCTCCCTTTTCTACTCACCTCTCCTCTTTACCCCAGTTCCCCAGGGAGCATCCAGATGTCCAGGAGTCTCCTGCTGAAGGAAAGGCTCCTCCATCATCCTAGACCTGCCAGGGATCTCCCCTCGAGAGTTTTCCAGAGCAGGGTAGAGGTAAGCCCTATCTGCTCCCCTTCCTCCTCCGCGGGGGTCGGCCTCTTCCCGCAGGGGGCTCTTCTCTTCCTTGATCACGCCACCAGCCACCTGACGGTGCAGGATCGAGGGCTCCGCACAGATCGCGCTCCCTGCAGCGGCTTGAGAAGAGGACGATGAATAGGCAGGCTCGCCCGGTGGCTCCGGATCGCTGCCGTCGGTGACGGAGGCCTGGGTCCAGGAGTACTCGTCCTCAGCGGGCTGCGGATCGGGATCGAGCTCCGGATCGCTTTCCTCCTTGACCACCACCTGGCACCACGGAGCGCCGTCCCCGCCGCGGGAACTGCTTGCCCCGCCGCCCAGGATGGCGTCGAGCTCGTGGAAGAAGCGGCAGCGCTGGCGGGCGACACCGTCTTGCAGCTTGGCTTGCTTGTAACTTTTTTTGAGGTCTTTGCCTTTCGTCCGGCATTGGTCCTCGTCACGGAAATAGCCCTTCTCGGCCATGCGCTCGGAGATCCACTGGTAGACGTCGGCATTCCGGTGGCAGCGGTTGAGCTGCGCCTGGATGGACTCCTCGCCCCACAAGGCGAGGAAATCCAGGGTCTCCCGGTGACTCCAAGTGGCCGCCCGAGTTCGAGGCACTTTAGGGCGATCAGTCGACCTCGGGCCCAGGAAGGAAGAGGGGGAAGGAGAGGACATCCCGGGACTGGAGAGGAAGCGGGGTCGGTGGGTGGCAGGAACAGAAGGATCAAATCAAAGGGGGAAAAAAAGGGGGGGGGGCTCTGCCACGATCTGCCACCTCTTGTTTTAATTAAAAATCCAATACCGATGCATGCCGGGATGTACCCCCCTCCCTAACCCAGAAGACCGAGCGAGGCGGGTACCTCCGCGGTAACACGTAACCCGAGGTGGGACTTACTGCGCAACTATTGGCCGACGAGCCCGTGGTTATGCATATGAACCCGATTTAAATCGGGGCTCTGGTGCCCTCTGCGCCGGCGCTATGGGGGGGGGGGATTTGCTTCGTACCCCCGCGACAGCAGAGTTGTTACCTTCCTGGGAACACGGGTGTCAAAGCGGCTCTCACGTTCTGGGCTGCTTTCTCTTGTATCCCTGATTTTGCAAGGCATCTGAAAGTTCCCCCTCTCCCCAGCTGCATCTAATCCGGTTTTTGTTTTAAGGAGAGGCATTGTTAACCCGGGACTGAATCGCAGTAGTTATTCCGGATTTCTACACCGAAAGGGACCACCAGCAAAATCCTATTAGCGATTGGAAATTCGGAGCCCATCGAATTCGTCTGAAACTTCAGAGGTGTCGAAACGGGGATGACATTGATCTAGCGGACTCCGCATGGGACGCTTTCTTTCATACTCCTCCATTCCCTCACACACACCCTCGCAGCCCAATTGCTCCGGGCGTCATACGGGCTGCATGCCAGAAACGCTCATCCTCCTTCGTTGAAAGTTTGGTTTGTTTAGGTACCCAAACTTTTCCGATTCGGACGAGGCTGAGTCACAGATTTACGGTTACAATCCAATGAATATTCTCCCAATTATGGGCTGGGATTATATTCATTCTAACCCCAGGTTTAAGGCTAAAGCTAATTTTAGAGCGCAGTTTCAACCCGGCAGAAGTTTCCAAAAACACAGCCGCGTTATTCCGATGCAGCAAAAGCAAAATACTGAACAGTATTTCTACAGGTCCTAACGCTTGGGCTAAAACTCTTCATTGTGATTTTCTCAGCAGAGATTTCCTTAGCCAGATTTCCTTGGCTAAGGAAAAGGCTGCATTTGTTGATTAAAACTAGTGGAAGGAACCAGGGCAGAAGCGCTGCCGACCGTGCAAAGCCTGCTCGAGCGTCCACCAATAGCGCTTCGTCTTTAGAAGCGCCTAAATAATCGAAATAATGGATACACGCGGGAGTGACACGTCCTGAACCTGGGTTATCAGTAAACTCCGCCGTATCCGAGCAGGACCGGGAGTTCAGCCAGCGAAACTTGCTGCCGTAGAGGGAGCGAAGGTCAGGGACAGAGGCGAGTGGGTGGCGGCGGAGTTAAAAGCTAAAATGTGGGGTCAAAAAAAGTACCTCTTGGGGGACTGTGGGTTTTTTTGGGGGGTGGGTGGGGAGGGATCAGGATCGAGCAACGTCTCCCCGGGCTCGCTTTGAAACCCCTCTTTTGCAAAGCTCGGTTCCCAGCCGCTGCAAACCACGGTTGCTTAATGACGGCTTCTTGAGTAAGTTCTTCCCCTCCGCGCTGAGCGCCCACAGCTATGTGGTTTAGCGCGACGCGGGAATCCAAGTTACTTTCCTTCGGAGCCCACAGATCCCCTTCCTCTTATGCCCACCAGATCCTGCGCTCTTCGCCGGGAGGGGCGGGGGAGATAATACATGGGAGGGGATCCCTTCCAAGTCCTTACCTGGGCTGCCCCAAGCGCCTCCGGGACCGGCCCATACTCCATGGAGCTGTAAAGATCGTACACTGAAGAGGTCTCGGACTCGGAGCTGCTTCCCGTCGCTGAGAAGCCGGCCATTGACTCCAGTCTGGATTGCTCGGTTCTTGATAGCAAAAAGCAACAACCTCCCAACTGAACAGCATCCCCTTCGCTTTAATAGTCACTTCCGACCTCCCAACTGCCATAGAGTTCAGCTACTTGCAGAGAAGAGTCGAGACGTAAGGCTAGAGGGAGGAAAATGCGGACTATAGAGAGAGAGAGAACGTACTGAGTACAATTATTGAGACCGTAGCATAGAGCAGCATAGCACCCCTTTCCCTCCTCAAATTGATGCCAGATAGCTTGGTTATTTTTCAAAATGATATGCTCCAAATAAAAGCAAACGTACACCATCGCCAGAAATATTTTAAAAGTAGAATTTAATCTTCCAGGACACTTTTGACACTATTCACCCCCCTCCCCACTTTCCACTTGCTAATGGAATAGGAATAGGAGATAACTATTTGAAAGTTATCAGTTATCAGTTGCAATGTATGGCTGTGAAAGTTGGATTGTAAGAAAGACTGAGCCCCAAAGAATTGAGGCCTTTGAACTATGGTGTTGGAGAAGATTCCTGAGAGTCCCTTGGACTGCAAGGCAATCAAACCGGTCACTCCTAGAGAAAATCAACCCTGGCTGCTCTTTAGAAGGCCAGATCCTGAAGATGAAACTCAAATACTTTGATCACCTAATGAGAAGGAAGGACTGACAAGAACAGCCTAATGCTGGGAACGATTGAGGGCAAAAGAAGAAGGGAACTACAGAGAATGAGATGGCTGGATGTAGTCACTGGAGCAGTAGCCATGAGCTTTAATGGACTCCAGAAGATGGTAGAGGACAGAAAGGCCTGGAGAAACATTGTCCATGGGGTCGCAATGGGTCAGACACAACTTCGCAACTAACAACAATCTGAAAGAGTGCAGGAATCTAGCATTTCAGTCTAACATAGTCTTCTTTGCTATGTAAAAGAACTGAATGTTACATTTTTGAATGATAAAAAGCCATTTAATATAATCCATTACTTACAAGCCTCACCCAGGGAGTGATTGCAAATTATCATTAATCATCCTCACTATTATATTACTTCCATCTCAGAAGTTCCCTGAAGGGAGCAGAGAAAATAATGTGCAACAACACTCCATCTGAGACACAGTTCGCTGCTACACACTTGGACAGATTCAAATTACACTGTTTTGGCCACATTATGCAGACCCAACTCCTTGAAGAAGAATCAATGCTGGGGAAAGTGGACAGAAAGAGAAGAGAATAACCAGCAATTTAAATGTTAACGCGTGTCTAGGTTCGGACTAATGAAGCAAATCAGAACTCTGAGACTAAGGTCCTTCCCAAAGGTCTTCTTTATTGAGTATATCATATTGGCACAGCTTCAAAGGAAAACCAACTCTAAATCTTTCCCACAGTTTAGTATAATTAAAATGGGAAATAAACCCATCCCCCCAAGTGTCTCAGATCACGTTCACCAATTGGGTTAATCGGCAGGTTCTCCAGGCATTCCTTCCCCATTCTTAAGAGCCAAGGTGGCGCAGTGGTTAAATGCAGCACTGCAGGCCTACTGCTAGATCAGCAGGTCAGCGGTTCAAATCTCACCGGCTCAGGGTTGACTCAGCCTTCCATCCTTCCGAGGTGGGTAAAATGAGGACCCAGATTGTTGGGGGCAATATGCTGACTCTCTGTAAACCGCTTAGAGAGGCCTGAAAGGCCTATGAAGCGGTATATAAGTCTACTGCTATTGCTATTGCTATATTCTTATCCCCATCCTGGACTTTGGTTCTCATGAGAAAACTGCCCGTTGTGTCTAGAAAGGCATTTCAACCTCTTTCCCCCTCTGTGTGGCAATTGAGGAACAGAAAAGTAAGGAACAGAAAAATGACTGCTGCCAGGTTTGGTTCAAAGTTGACAACAGAGCTATGGGAATACCATTTGAAGACCTCAAGGCCCAGTTTAGGGACAGATGATCATGAAGAAAGTCCACCTATGTGGCCACTAACCGATCAACCAGAGAAAACAATACAAGTCTGCAACAGTGCAACCTAAGTATGTTCTGCATATTGAAACATCCATCCATCGCCTAGTTAATCTTTTATACCAGTGTTTTTCAACCTTGGCAACTTGAAGATGTATGGACTTCAACTCCCAGAATTCCCCAGCCAACAGAGTTGAAGAATGGTGGAGAATTCTGCTGGTTGAAGTCTAGACTTCTTCAAGTTCTCCAAATTGAAAAACCTCTGCTTTATACTATAATTAGCTAAAGTTTCCTAAATAAATAGTGCTTTAAAATGCCGCTCTGGTCACGTAATATGGAGGCGGGGCTATCAGATATTGGGATAAAATCCAGCCCCAAAGCAATGCCGGATAAATATAGAAATAGAAATTATAAATCCCTTCTATATCAAGGAGTTTTGTCTTGACATTGCCGGTACGACTCACTTCTCTAAATTAGTACGTCTATGCTTATCTTGATATAAAGCATCTTCCGGGTGAGCGCAACGCAACGAGCAGGGAGTTTCTGCAAGTTGGGCGGTCTTTCCGTCCCGGCTCTCAGTAAACTGAGAGGGTGGAATTCGTTGCCCGAAGCCCGAAGCCCTGCGCTTAGGTGTGAGTGAGCGTATTTCAATGTAATTAACCCTGCAAGCAAAGGAAACTGCTTTCTCTCTACAGCACATTTTCTACCTCGTGTGAGTAAAAAGCGTGAGCCCAGGACAATTTTTAAAACGTTATTTTTGTTTTTTTCTCGATTGGGATTCTTCTTCGTTATCCCATTTCTATAAAAGAATACAATACAGCAAAGATGCGAGAGTGGAGCCATGAGTTGCTTCTCCATTGCATGCGAGCTGGAAATCAGTGTTTTTACTGAGAGGCAGCAATTTCAAAATGACAAAATTACAAGTGTGTGTCATTCACCTAACAGTCATGTAAACTGTACAAGTAGGTCTGGATTACTGTGAGTTCAAATAGTGCAAAATTTAACTTAACAGCAATGTGATTTATATGTTGATACCAGGTCACACTTTTTATAAAAGACTGGAAACCTTTCATGGGCTTTTTGAGGAAAATGGACAAATTGAACTGATAATATATAATTTGGAAAGGCGAAAGTGGTGGTAATTATGCTTGTAACCACCATAAAAGAAATCAGAAGTTGCTTGTTTAGATTTTTTTTTTCTTTCCTGCTCTTGATTATTACTGTTTGTCACTTTTTCTCTGATCTCTTCAAATGTTTTTCTTTTTTCTAATTCCATCTGTAGTTTTTTAATCCATATTATATATTTATATTTATATAATTGATGCCAGCTCGTGTTTGACAAACACAGATAAATGTTCCCAAGTTACCAGCTCGTTTTCTCTATAACAACAACCCTGTGAGGTGGGTTGACCCAAAGTTACCAGGCAGCTTTCATGCCTGAGGGAGATCTAGAATCTGTCTTCAACACTAACCACTAGACCAAACAGGCTCTGCTTTCATACTTGTTTTAACATTGGGGATAAATGAGAATCTTAAAGAAATTATCCTATTTTCCAGAGAAATATCCTTCACATAGTGCAAATTCGAATAATGCAACCATTTTGTGGGATTTATTACTTGCACTAATTGAGACCTGCCTGTACTCATTTCCATAGGAAGTCAATTGCACTAAGCTTACTGTGGTTTTTAAGAGGTGATGACAGATTTGGACTCCTAACATGGGTTGTACGATTTTGCTGTTTTAGTCTCATTTGAGGGTCAAAGGAATGGGAGCTTTTAGTAACAGAGGTAGGAGAAAAGGAAGAAATTTCAAATAGATATCAGAGTATAGCCAGATTGTAATAGAGTTGTTCTTCTATTTATTTAGGTTGCTAAGTAATAATGGACTAGTTGCTTGTTGTAGTCAGTGCTGCAACGATATTGTAAGACTGAAAAAAGAAACTTTTAAAAAAAAATTTCTTGGAGGAAAGGGAGGTGTTGATGCCATAAATCAGTATTTCTCAACTTTTTCTTCACTATGGACCCCCTTGAAATATCTTGTGTGGCCATGGATTATTGCCATAGTTCCCCAAGACTTAACTCGAGATTTAAATCATAACATTACTTCAAGCTTTGCAGACTCCCTGGGATCCCTCGGGGGTGGGGGGGGTGGGGGGGTGTCCACAGCTCACAGATAGAGAACTACTGCCATAAATAATGGAGTTAAAAAGCAGGGCCAATAGGATCAGAAGATATATGGTGGTATGATGGCGCATATAGTTAGAAAACAGCATTGCAGGCTGACTCTGTCCACTGCCAGGAGTTCAGTCCTGACCAGCTCAAGGTTGACTCAGCCTTCCATCCTTCAAAGGTCAGTAAAATGAGGACCCAGATTGTTGGGGACAATATGTTGACATTTGTAAATTGCTTAGAAAGTGCTGTAAAGCACTGTGAAGTGATATATACCGTATTTTTCGGAGTATAAGACGCACCCTTTCCCCTCAAAACAGAGGCTGAAAATCTGGGTGTGTCTTATACACTGACTACAGCATTTTTGCCTCCCGAAACCCTGCCCTCTTCACCAAAATGGCCGGGCATAGCCTTATGGAGGCTTTCAGAGAGCTCCTGGGGGCTGGGGAGAGCAGAAATGAACAAAAAACAGCCTGTTTTTTTTTTTTTTGCTCAATTTTACACCAGCCCCCAGGAGCACTCTATAAGCTTCCTAAAGACTATCCATGCCCTTTTTTAAATGAAAAATGGGCCTGTTTTCGTGAAAAACAGGCCGTTTTGGGAGATTTGCAGAGTGCAAAAACTTTTATTTTCCTCTTCAAAAGCTTGGTGCGTCTTATACTCCGAAAAATATGGTAAGTCTGCTATTGCTATAAGTTGGAGGCTGGTTTGAATGGTACAAAGAATGTACCAGTTGGATATGCCTGGATCTTCTGTGATTTCCTTCTATGGACTGAAATTGCAGTTTTAACATTTTGGTAACTTTTCTATTAGGTGGCTGCATTGGTTTTCAGTAGCAAAAGTAAAAAAGGGCCTTGGGCTATTTAAAAATATATCATTTATTCTATTATTATTCAAGGGACTCTAAACCTCTTTGTTATCCTCCCTGATGTTTGTCAAATCTTTCAGCATTTCTGCTTCCCTCCCCCCTTTGTCCAGTTCTCAGAGACTGCCTGGACAAGTCCCTGGAGTTTTCTTGGCGAAGTTTTGTTGCAAGAGTGGTTTGCCATTGCTTCCTAACTAGGGCTGAGAGAAAGTGACTGGTCCAACATCACTCAGCTGGCTTCGTGCCCAAGGCAAGAGTAGAACTCGCCATCCTTGGGTTTCTAGGCTGATGTCTTAACCATTCCACTAAAGTGGCTCTGCCTTGTTACCCTGCTGCCATTCCATGCAGGAAACATCGCGGCTATGTTTTAGACCTCTCAGTTCATAAAAAGGGAAGGATGGATAAGCAAGGGCTTTTTCTTGGGAGTCCATCCTATTAGACTTTCCTCACTGCACCAGCCGAGGTGGCGCAGTGGTTAAATGCAGCACTGCAGGCTACTGCTAGATCAGCAGTTCAGCGGTTCAAATCCCAACCGGCTCAAGGTTGACTCAGCCTTCCATCCTTCCGAGGTGGGTAAAATGAGGACCCGGATTGTTGGGGGCAATATGCTGACTCTCTGTAAACCACTTAGAGAGGGCTGAAAGCCCTATGAAGCGGTATATAAGTCTACTGCTATTGCTATTGCTTTCAAAGATTTGAGGGGCAGGTATAAGCACTGTAATCAATTTTAAAAAATCAGTCTCTGTGTTTTAGGCAATTTTCTTCCTGGCTGAAGAGCTCAAGTTTTGCCTAACCTTGTAAACATCATGATGGCCTATTGAATAACAACACCCCTAATTTTGTACTATAGGTGGTCCTTGAGGTACAACAGTTCATTTAGTGATCAAAAATTACAAGAGCACTAGAAAAATGATTTATGACCATTTTTCCTACTTATAACTGTTGCAGCATCTGCATGGTCATGTGATCTAAATGCAGATGCTTGGCAACTGATTAATCTTTATGATGGTTGCAGTGTCCTGGGGGGGTCATGTGATCAGCCTTTGCAACCTTCTGACAAGAAAAGTCAATGGGGAAGCCAGATTCACGTAACAACTGTGTGACTAACATAACATCCGCAACGATTCATTTAACTACTGGCAAGAATGATAATAAAATGAAGCAAAACTCACTTAACTCTCACTTAGCAACATAAATTTTGGTAAATCAAGGACTACCTGTACTGTGATTATAATAGTCCAAAACATTTTGACTGGTTGAAGATAGAAAAATCTGATTTACAGTTTGTCACTTTTTCCCCCTAAATTTTGGTTCTTAAATCTCCCTTTATTTTGTAGACGCTACTGGGCCCAACGGTTTCAACATGGCATCAGTTACAGATAAGTCGCTGTTATCGGCCGAATTACAAGGAGGACAGGAGGAAGAGGAATTCAATCGCCTTTTACTTCAGGTGTGTTTGCTGCAGTTTCGCTCATATTTAAGAAAAATATTGGGTTGTTTTGCAAGAGAAACAGGACTCCTGCGACAAGAGAGCCGCCCGGAGTCCTTCGGGAGTGGGCGGCATACAAGACCAATAAAATACAAATACAAAATACAAAAGAGAGCAGAATCAGGTTACAGTAGAACAGTGGTTCCCAAACTTGGCAACTTTAAGACTTGTGGACTTCAACTCCCAGAATTCTCCCCAGCCAGCAGAGCTGGAGAATTCTGGGAGTTGAAGTCCACAAGTCTTAAAGTTGCCAAGTTTGGGAACCACTGCAGTAGAGTTCAGGCTGAGGGAGCGCCTGATCCAGATTTCATAAAACATTTAATATTCCTGTAAATTAAATCCATCCAGTTTAATATACTCCCGGCTTAACCATTCAGTTATTTCTCCCCTCTTGCCACGTTAAATTGAAATATTGACTTTTTAATGTGATGTCTTTGGGTGGTCTGAAGGCTGCAGTGTGGGTGTGCATGGTACATTGAAGGGAGTTTAGGAGGCCCTTGGATTTTTATGTTTCTATGATGTTCCTATTTTATAGTTCACATGACATTTTTTTAGTTTTTGCCCCCTTCGAAGGAAGAGCATATCATCATTTTTCAAGTCAGAGGAGATAAGGAGCTCCGAAAAGTGGTTATGGAAACCATTGGTGGTTTTGGAGGCCATAAATATTGCAACAATCCACTTCTTTTGACTGGCATCTAATGGGGAGGGGGGCTGCCCCTGAACCATCTCAACAAATATAGATAAGGCTATGTTTTTGGAAGGACATCTTTTTGGAAGAGCCAAGGTGGCGCAGTGGTTAAATGCAGCACTGCAGGCTACTGCTAGATCAGCAGGTCAGCGGTTCT